GGGGTCAAATCAGGTAAGTGGGTCACAACACTGCAATCCACCTCAACCATGGTGGAACTTTTGAAATGATCTGTTTCACATAAAGTTTGATATAAAGGTTTTATGTTTTACAAGATATTTGTCAAATATTAAATAATTAGGGTAGAAGCTTCAAAATTCTTAGTAAACATACATATCTTTTAGTTTTCACCTAAGGACTTTAGTATTTCTCTTCAAGATCTATTAGTATAGTCCCCCCCACCCCCCGCCATGCTTTTTACTATAAAAAGATGATGTTTAAATGATATTTGCGGGGCTGGAAGGTGGCGTGGTGATTAAGGCACTGGACTCCCATGGCCGACTGTCCAGGATTTGGTGGCTTTCTCTCTCTCTCTTTGTTCGAAATGATTAATACTACTACTAATAATACATAAAATGAAATAAATTTTTTAAAATGCTATTTGCAGCACATATCAGTGAATAAGTTCACAGAATACAAAGAGTCTAGAGACTCTTTGGTAAGAGAGCCCCATAAATACCAAAGGATCAAGCTAAGCAACAACTGCAGCCTCTTGCGTCTTTTAGGACCAGCTAAGTGTTGCTCATGCAGGACCTCAACTGTGATGAAACTTTTGAAATTATCTGTTTCACACAAAGTTTGATATAAAGGTTTTACATTTTACGTTACCAGACTTACAAGACACTTGTCAAATGGCTGTCTTGATATAGGGATGCTACAGCTGCTCACAAAATGCCCCTAAGGATTCAGGGTATTTAGAGGCCTTGCTCCAGATATCTGTAATAGCTACAATTTGTAAGAAGGTAACTTAAATTTATATAATGTTCAACTTTTCTGGCTGAAATAATCTGAAGGCAATATTATACCAACATCAATTATACTTTACCAACTAAAACACTCAGTAAACTTTCCACCATGTTCAAATTCTCTACTGCAATGCATTTACTGAGTCTAATCATAGCCATTATTTTCTGTGCAGTTTTGTAGACCTATAAAAAACAACAACATATCAGTGCTAGAGAGAAGAAAAAAGGAGGAATCAGCTTCTCGTTTAATTTTACAGCTATGAAGAACATTGTCTTAAATATCTATCAAGAAGACATTTTAAGATGAAATTGAGCATTTTACTAGAAAATGCTAATGGCCAAAGACAGTATCAAACACAAATAAAAACTATAACATTCTGAATTCTTAATTCACATTAAAAACTAAAAATAAGAAAAGGACTGGAAACTACAAATGCACCGTGGGCAGCATGTACACATAGAAGAAGAAAGATGAACTCCAATCAGTGGCTACAAATGCAAAATGAAAGCTTTGATCAGTAAGACAGTATTATCGACTGAGTTTGTACAATTTGATGTATAAATCAAATGCTAAAGGAATGCATTTTCCTTTATGGTTTCCATTTTCAACTTGTTTTTAGAAATTTCCCCTTAAAATGATATTTGCTTTCAAATATCATGACCTAGTTCTGCACAGCTATACTCAATAATGAGTTTAAAGCAGAGAATACCTTTTTTTTTTTTTAGATTTTTGCTATAGGGCATGTGTGCTCACCAGATAGAAATACAGAGACAGGAAAGGTGAGACGTCATCCCTGAGGGAGTTAGCCATGTCACAATCCCTCTCGGGATTTCGGTCACAAATGTACACATAACCAATGTATCTTTCAAGCCACCGGGGCTGGGACTCAAATGGTGGAGTCAGCCATGTAGGATCCAATGCCTTATCTACCAAGCCACCTGCAGAGGATTCTTTATTATTATTATTTTTTCCTAAAGATATTTGCCAAAGGAGATGTGTGCTCCCAAGAGACAGAGAGACAGTGAAAGGGAAAGGGAGAAATCACCCCCTAGGGAGGAAAGCCATGCTACAATCCCTTCTCCTCCAATCTCCTCCTGGGATTTTGGGAATGTATGCACATACATCTGATGTGAGTTTCAAGCCAATAGATTGGGACTTAGATTGTGGTGGGCCATATGAGAGTCCAGCACCTTAGCCACTATGCCACCTACTGGCCCCCACCAGATAATTCTTAAAATCATGCCTCATCAATACATATCAACAGTCTAAAATATGCTCTTTAACTAAGTAACTCCCCCAGAATTATCCTAAGAATAACTTTGGAGATACATGTATAAGAGTGTTCACAGAACTATTATTTACATAATAAAAACAAAAAGAGAGGGATGGGGGAACAATCTAAACTTTTAGAAACAATATCATACCCAATAAAATATTATGCAGATGAAAAAAATGTTTATTTTTATTTTAAATATGAAAAGGTGTTCAAAGTATATAAAGAAAAGCAATTGAATTTTAAATCAATAAATATTTGTCCAGTTGGACACAATGTAAAAAAAAGTGTGAGGTGTGTTATATTGGGTACATTTTCTTCTTCGTTTTTTTTGAGAGGTTTTTGCTATAGGGCAAGTGTATTTGCCAGAAAGACAGAGAGAGACAGAGAGCTAGAAAGCGAAAAATCACCACCACCACCCCCCAGGGGGGATGGCCACACCGCAATCCCTTTTCCTCCACTCTCCTCTCGGGATATTGGGCACACACGCACACGCGCCTGGTGTGAGTTTAAGCCACCGTGTCCGGGACTTGAACTGCAGTCGACTACATGGGAGTTCAGTGACATAGCCATTACACCAACTGCTGGTCCCGATTTTCTTCTTTTTATATGCAACAAATAGGAATACGAATCACATTTTAACCTGCCAATATCTAATGTTGATAAATTTAGTGAAAAACTACCAGCATTGTTGGAGTGTTTCAGAAATGGCCCTGGAGGCCAGCCGGGATGTAGTGGTTAAGACAGACTGGATCCCATATGGCCTACTGCTCAATTCAAGTCCCGGGCCTGGCACCTTGAGAAACATTCCAGGTGCAAGTGTTCAAAATCCTGAATGAAGGGAGAAATGGAGAAGGGATCACAGCATGGCCATCCCCCATAAGCGGTAATTTCTCACTTTCTTCTCTCTGCCTCTCTCTTGCAAGTGCATGTGCCCTCTGGCAAATAAAAAATCAAAATAAAAGGAAGGAAGGAAACTAGGAAAGTCAGAAAGTGCCCTGAGAATAGAATCAGGAAATCTGGACACTATGAGAGAATACTCTCCCATGGAACCTCCTATTAAGAGGGAGAATCAGCCCAGCCAGGTGTCATAATGGTAAAGGCAGCTGGATCACACATGGCCAGGTGTATGGTTTGAGTACTGAACCTGATGGCTCAGAAGATATGCACAGCATATGTGTGTCCCCAAAATCTTGAGAGAAGAGTAGAAGTGAAGGTTATGTTATATAACAATGTGGCCAGACCCTTGGGGGGTGATTTCTCACTTTCCTCCTCTCCTCTTCTCTCTCTCTCTCTTCTCTCTCTCTCTCTCTCTCTCTCTCTGCCTCTAGTGAGCACAGGCACATTATAGCAAAAACAAAAACACACAAAAAAGAAGTAGAGTCTATCTCCACCCCTTGAATCTGTATTGGCCTTATAATGTGTTTTAATCAATGAAATGCAATGGAATTGATAGTGTAGAATTTCCTCTTTTCTTCTCTTCCTTTCTCCTTCTCTTTCTTCTTTTTTTTTTTTTTTTTTGAAGAGGTTTTTGCTATAGGGCACGTGTGCTCACTAGATAGACAGAGACAGAAAGTGAAAAATCACCCCCCAGGAGGGTGGGCCACACTACAATCCCTTCTCCTCTACTCTTCTCTCAGGATCTTGGGCATGCATGCATATGCACCTGGTATGAATTTTAAGCACCAGGTCCGGGAGTTGAACTGCAGTCGACTACGTGGGAGTCCAGCAATGTAACCATTATGCCATCTGCTGGTCCAGATAGTTTAGAATTTCTAACTTTAGGCTAAAAGACCTTGTAATTTCCACTATTTCTCTTTATTGCCCTGGGAGCCCCATGAGAAAGAACCCTAAACGAGCCTATGTATGCATGAGGAACCACATGGAAAGACAAGTCCAGTTACCAGCCAGCACCAATGGCCAAATACATGAGTGAAGTTATCTTTTCCTCTTTTTTCTTTTCTTTTCTTTTTTATTTTTGAGAGAGAGAGAGAGATTTTTTTTTTTTTTTTTTTTTTTTTTTTTTTTTTTTTTTGCTATAGGGCGTATGTGCTTGTCAGAGAGACAGAGACAGAAAGCAAGAAATCACTCCCACCCTCCCAGAGGGGATGACCATACCACAATTCCTTCTCATTCATTTTCCTCTAGGGATTTTGGGCATACATGTACACGTGAGTTTTAAGTCGCCAGGTTCAGGACTCAAACTATGGTCGATTACATGGGAGTGCAATGACATAAGCATTATGGCATCTACTGGTCCCCGGGTAAAGTTATCTTAGACTCTCCTGGTCCAAATCAGGTTGCCAAATTACAACTGCAACCAGAGTGACCCCGGGCAAGATCAGCTGAAGAAACCCAGTCCAAATTGTTGACCCACAGAGGAATCATGAGAAGGAAAAAAAAACTAAAAATGGTGTTGTTCTGTTATTAGCTTTAGTGATATATTATATAGCAATATATGATCAATTTATTCATCACTCACAGAGTATCACTATTAGTGTTTTGGTATTCCATTTGTCTAGACTAATTTATCGCTTAAGATAAAACTGAAACTATGCATAGACTAGTTCTATGATTCTATGGTAACTTTGAAATGGGAAAACATGCAGGGCCTCATGGTTACTCCAGACTTTTAACTCAGAAACATAAGGAGAGAACAGAGAACTTGGGATTCAGAACATTTTGCATGCTTTACAGAAGCTCCATACAGCTGTGGGCTTTTTTCCCCACACCCAAGGGCCTTAATGTACTCAAGTTTCTCACTTTCTCAGTGGATGTGAGGAAGCTCTGCTGGGATCCTAGCACAGCACCAGGTTAAGACATCAAGAAAAGTATAACCAAGTTTATCATCACTCACACCACCTTCACCCCATCGCAGGTACTGGAGATAACCAATATTCACCAGGGCTTTACTATACACACCACACTGGGTGAGCAAAGGAGAGTGAGCAGTTAAGGACTCTGGAACCAGACTGCTCTGCCACTTTCTGTGTCACCTTGAGGAAGTTGCTCATCTTTCCACGCCCAGTTTGCTCATCTGTAAAATGAGGATAATAATGGTACAGTCTTGTGCTGCTTGACAATAGGAATACATTCTAACGAATGGGACTTTGCGTGATTTGGCTGTGCAAAAATCACGCAATGTACTTACACAAACCTAGATAGGATAGCCTACGACACACCTAGGCTTTATGGTAAAGCTTATTGCTGTACCACATAACTACCAATCTCACTATTTTACACTGAATTGTCACCAACTACAGTCACTCTGCCATGGTCAAGTACTCTAGAACTCATTCCGCTTAACTGCTTTTACTCTTACATCTGGGAGAAAACAACATGAGATTAAATCAAGCATAAGAGAAAAATGATGCATTCAAGAGCTACAGTACACAGAAGGGGTGCCAGGCTGCTGCTGGCATAACAAGGCATACTGTGCTACAGCAAACTTGTTATGCAGATAGAAGGTATACACTCTAAAATAAGGCAAATACAGTAAATACATAAACCAGTAACGGTCATTTATGGTTATCAAGAATGATGTGCTTGGGACCAGCAGTTAGCATAATGGCTATGTCGCTGGACTCTCATGTAGTTGACTGTGGTTCGAGTCCCAGCCCCGGTGGCTTAAACTCACGCCACGTGCGTGTGCACGCATGCCCAAGATCCTGAGAGGAGAACGGAGGAGAAGGGATTGTGGTATGGCCATTCCCCCTGGGGGGTGATTTCTCGCTTTCTGTCTGTCTCTCTCTGTCTGTCTGGCAAGTGCACACGCCCTATTGCAAAAAAAACCTCTCCAAAAAAAAAAAAAAAAAAGAATGATGTGCTGCAGAACTGTGTATGCTACACTTTCAGACGACTGGCAGTGTGGCAGATTATTGACACCAGCATCAGCACACACACGAACTGCACTGCGAGGTTACAAGGAGTCACTATCACTAGATGACAGAAACGTTTCAGACCCATTATATATACCCTTACGGGACCAGCATCCAATATGCAGCCATCGTTTACTGACTACACCGAATTCACTGGGTTGTGAAAATTTAATGAGACACAAGCAAAGCATTTAGAACGCGGCCTAGCGCAGGATGAGTGCTCAATAATTACTAGCTCTCTGCAGTATTAATCAGCACTTCACATGTTGTCTCTTTCGATCCTCACAACAGTTTGCAGATGGAGTTGGAGAGGCTAACAAACCTGCTAGTAAGTGACAGAATCAAGTTCAAAGCCACATTTTTTTTTCTCACTGCGGTACCTAAACCCTTCTATACTATGTGATGTGACTTCAGAATATAAAATAGCCCAGGAGTGTCGAAGCAGGTTCCTACTACGTCAGGGACAGAACGTAGAACTAACCCCCGACTCATCAAGAGTATGAAATTATCGGGACCAGCAGTTAGCGTAATGGCTATTTTGCTGGACTCCCACGTAGTCGACCGCGGTTCGAGTCCTGCGGCTTAAACTCATGCCGGGTGCGTGTGCATGCGTGCCCAAGATCCCGGGAGGAGAATGGAGGAGAAGGGATTGTGGCGTGGCCATCCCCCCTGGGGGGTGATTTCTCGCTTTCTGTCTCTCTGTCTGTCTCTGTCTGTCTGGCGAGCGCACGTGCCCTACAGCAAAAAAGCCTCTCAAAAAAAAAAAAAAAAAAGAGTATTAAATTACCCAAATACTACACGATGCCCATTGTACTGAAAGTAAATGTTTATTCTTTTAGAAAATTAGAAGAAAACCATCGTTGCTGTTTTAGAAAACTGGAGGGTTTTTTAAAAGAACCTCTAATTACATTAAATTTTACAGATAAAACAATTAACTTTTGCCCAAAAACATTCAGCTGGGTAGTAAAAATGACAAAAAGGAGGCTTTTTTTTTTTTATTTTAACTTTTCCACAGGAAGATGAAAGTGAAACAAGTGAACTTAACCCACAGAACTACTCAGCTAAGTTTAGTTCTACCCAAATTTGGCCTGGTGACTTTGAAAACAACCACTTTCCCAAACTTAAAGGAAATGGTTAGGCAACCTTAAAAAAGTCATTTGTTCTTGCATTACAGTGAGTCCTTTCTTAAGTGAGTCCTTTGCAAATAATGGGACATCCTAAAATTGCTCAGTTGAAGCAAGTATACATGACACTACAAGTTATTACTCTTTTCTGGATATTCTTCTTCCTTTAAAAAGAGCAAAGAGAACTCATTTTTAGAAATGTTTTTACGTTTTATAATAAAATGGATTCTAAAGATTTTAAAACCAAACCAGAAGAATAAAACCTTTTCAGAGAACAGACATGCTGATAGTTCATGACTGAGTAATATTGTTCCCTCTGAGTAATACTGTGTGTGTCTTGATCTGAGACAAAACAGAGACAAACATGATTATTGAAAAATTCATTATTAGGGAAATGTTTCATGTTGTACTACAGTTGATTTTTTGAGGAAAAAAATCTATGTGCATCTTTCCCATCTTTTGTTTTCAAAGCACACTTTTAATTGACATGAGTACTGGTACATATTCATGAGTACAGTGGTTTTTTTAGTACATGAATATGATCAAGTCAGGGCAATAAACACATTCACCATCTTCATGTTGTGAACATTCAAAATCTACTATTTTGAAATACACATTGAATTGTCACCAACTGTAGTCACTCTGGCGTGGGCAAGCATCCTAGGGCACATTCTGCCACCCTGCTGGGACTCTCCTATCTGGTAACCAACTTCTCCTCCTTCCTTCCCCGATGCTAGTATCCAGTTTCACTTCCACTTGCCAATCTTCTAGCTTCCACCAATGAGAACACGCAGTTTTGATCTTTTATTGCCTGGCTCATTTAACTTAAGAATTATTTCTTTGCTGTTTCTTCTTTTCCCTGAAGTGCTTAGTTGATTCCTGGCACAGTAATATGTGGGACTCAGATGAGAAACTGTATTTTCTAATATAAAAGTTTTCTGCCTGAGTGATACAATTTTATTCACTGATTTTTAAAAATTTTTGACACAATTATTTCTAATATGTTTAACTATTTTTTGACCTTACAAACATAAGTTGAACATAGAGCACAATTGGCAAAGGTCAAAGAACTGTACTATAACTTGTTGGAGCATAGTTCTGAGCTTGGCTGATAAAAATACTTACGTGGGGAATGACACCCACTAACCCACACCTCAAAATATGGCCGATTTGCTAAAATGCATTTCAATGAATGACTTAAGGTTTATAGCAACTCATGCTGCATGAAGTTTTTGTTTTTTAGTTTGCTACAGGTGTGTGTGCAAAGTGAACAAAGAGAGAGAGAGAGAGTGAGAAATCACCCCCCAGGGAGAATAACCAAGCCACAATCCCTTCTCCTCCATCATCCTCTTGGGATTTTGGGCGCGCGCGCACACACACACACACACGCACACATGCATCCTGCGTGATTCCCAAGCCAGTTTGTCCAGGATTCACACTGCACAACCGGTCACATTAGGATACGGTCGCCTTAACTCCACGCCATCTGCTGGCCCTTGCTTTTATTTCTTAAACTTTAGTTCAGATTTTTCATTCAAACTGCTGTTGTTTGTTCTAGCTGTTTTTCAGGGGATTTGTCAGTTCAACTGAAAGGCATTTTTTTTTAATTATTTTTTAAAGAGTTATTTATTTATTTATTTATTTTTTTGAGAGGTTTTCGCTATAGGGCGAATGCGCTTGCCAGACAGACAGAGAGATATAGAGACAGAAAGCGAGAAATCACCCCCCAGGGGGAATGGTCACGCCTCAATCCCTTCTCCTCCATTCTCCTCTTGGGATCTTGGGCATGCACGCACACGCGCCCAGCGTGAGTTTAAGCCACTGGGTCCAGGACGCGAACCATGGTCGACTACATGGGAGTCCAGCGTCAACTATTGCTGTTTTTATTAATGTTATTAATTTGTTATAGGGCATGTGAGCTCACTAGACAGAGAGAGAGAGAGAGACAGTGAAGGAGAGAGAGGGAAAACGAGGAAGCAAGCTGCCAGGTCTGGGACTCAAACCATTGTCCACCATGTAGGATTCCAGAACTTTAACCACCATGGCGCCTGCTGGCCCCTGAAGGGCAATTTCGATTATGATTCACAGAGCACATAGTAAACATTTCTACTATTACATAAATTTATTTGATAAAGTTAATTGTGAAATCTGTGACTATATATATATATATGTTTTTTTTGCTACAGGGCACGTGTGCTCGCCAGAAAGACAGAGAGAGACAGAGAGACAGAAAGTGAGAAATCACTCCCCAGGGGGGATGGCCACGCCGCAATCCCTCCTCCTCCATTCTCCTCTTGGGATCTTGGGCGTACACACACACGTGCGCGCCTGGCGTGAATTTAAGCCACTGGGTCTGGGACTTGAATCACAGTTGGCTACATGGGAGTCCTGTGACATAGCCCTTATGCCATTTGCTGGCCCCAAATTAAGATACATTTTAAAAGCAATAGGTTGAATAAAAAAAGTATTGAAATAAACATATTAATATTATTTATCACTATCTCTGCTATAAGAAATAGGCATAAGACTTACACAGGAATCTCTCATGACTAAAAATGTTAGATCTTCCCAGGTTTAGAAAATGCCCAAATACTCAACTTTGATCAGATATGAAGAATCAGCTATGGCTTTAACTAAACCCAATTTTAAAAGACTAATACTAAAATATTACTATAATCATATTTACTAAGATATTACTAAAATCTTTAAGAGTTGTTTAAAAAAACTCTATTACACCTAGTTATGAACTTTATCAAAAGTTAACAAAGAAGATTTTAGTGAATTATTAAATTAAATGAGATTACCTGGCTATTTGGGTGAATTGACCAATGATTAAATTTTGATGGATCATGAGCCATGCCTCCCAAAAATCCCACTCCCATCTCTTCCTCAATGCTATCCCAAAATAAAATACAGAGGCAGTTAACTGTAATTTAATTATAATTTCAGGAAAATAAAGCCAATCTTGTAGAAAGCATTCTGGAACACTCTCTTTGTTCCAATGACATTGCTATATATAGTAGCCACTTTTCTAC